GAAACGTTGGTTAACATCGACCAGACTACACATCGCAACAACCCAGAAGACAGAAATCTTCATACTCTAATGACGGAGGCAGTATGACCTCTGAAACGTTGGTTAACATCGACCAGACTACACAGCGCAACAACCCAGAAGACAGAAATCTTCAGACAAAATTCCCGTGGTGAATTTTCAAGTTCTCATAGGCGGCGAATATGAAGATGACTGTCTTCTGGGGTACTGGAACGTGTAGTGTGGTAGAAGTTTACCGACGATCATCAGGCAGCAAGCACCTCCGAAACATAAGCAAACTTCTACCAAACTATATGAAAAAAATAACGCAGAATACATTCTTCATTCTCTTCGCCGTGAGAACCTCAAGTCTTATTTGGATTGAACTGGCTTAGAATAGTGTGAAATGCCACTTTTATTTTACGAGGGCGGGACAAGTCGAGTTTACAATCAGGTCTGCGTGCTGGGCGGTCTACGATTTAGCTGTACTTCGCGACCACACAACGTAAAAGAAATGAACACACTTGTACAAGGAAGGTCGTCAAGAGACAACGTTGTAAAAACTACAATTTATACAAATTGAGGTGGCGTAGGAAAAACTTAACAGCGTGGAGACCGTATTCTGATTACAACTAGTTTAAACTAACCATTATTAGGGTTGAGGAACCAGTGTAAATAATTCGGAATCCGTGGGCAGGCATGTTCACACTGATGAGGCGCTCGGGTGTTTCAGCGGCCTCAAACTGCAGCAGAACGGTTCCCGCTTCATCTGTGATCTCGACTACCGTATTTTCTGCCAGCTGCAGGCCCTGACCGTTCACTGACACGTTGAGTCCTGGGCTCAAATGCACAATCTGATAGTTGTCTAAGTTCACTTCAACTTCCTGTAATGCAAACACGGGTATGACTTCTGGGGATGTGATGGAGACCAATGTTTTGGAGGAACATATATTCCTTTAAGAGGAATTGTCAAACGGGGTGTTCTGTTTGAGTAAAAAAATTACACGTTTTTAAGTGTGTTACAAAAATGTGGTAACCCAGTGTTATCTTATATTCAGATGAAATTCGGGCCTTAAAGGGTTAGACTGTAGATGCGTGGTCCTGCTCGAACGGTCGAAACTATTTCTGGCGTGGATTAAATTATAATTGCAGAATATCTGTTTATAGGCTATAGTTGAGAGTAAGTAATTGAATACTTTGTTTTCGTACCATATCGATGGAGACTAATAGAATTATCCGGACGGTCGAGAACACGGCAGACGTCAGTGATTTAGAAAATAAACATTTTTTTACTGTGCAGTAAAGTACAACAGAAGTGATATTAAATACTACTTTCAAGTGTCCGATCTGGAGCAAAAAATTCTCATAGATTTAAGTTGCAAAATACTTACTGATGATCTAATTTATCGCTACCTTTTTGACTATGCACGTGTATTTATTAGGAAATAAGAGAGTTTTCCATATGATACTCTTGCACTAGGACACATAGCAGCGTGAAATGTCTTGCGCTGTAGTATATCAGATTAGCGATGGTTGTGTGGCATCCCGTAGAGTATCGTCGGAGATAACTTCACCGCGCAAACCACGCTCCTATTTGCCGCAAAGGTAATTTATGTATCGAGTTCGAGTGCGGTTTGAAAGCTGCTGGTCCATCAGAACTGATTAGCGATAGCTCGGACAGATACATGCATTTATGAAACGTACCCTGAAAATGGTGCATATGTTTACCGTTTCATTGTTCTCGTCGGGTCTAGTGAGAATGGCAATACGGCTGTGGCCCGAGCAGTCCTTGGAGAGTAGGTGCCAGCAGGATGTCAAGTTGTAGTCGAATTCCACTCCGTCAAAAGTTAAGAACTTGCTTCCTCCGTGGCCACAGTATGCTGGTAACAAGAATTTATATCTGTTAGTGCTGTGACTAATTTATGTTATACGTCTTTATTGTTGAACCACATTTTATCTTTAGGATCAATTTACATGAAATTTCTGGAGTTTTCGTTAAATATTTTTAAAGGTTTCTCTATGCGTATACAAGAGTATATGTGGCACGTAAAGTACATATGTACGGGAGAGATGATAAATACGTACGCCATGGAATTTTACTTTGGAAAAACTTGAAATGTAGAGATTATTTTGGAAATCTAGCAGTAGATGAAAGGGTAATGAAATTAATTTTGGAATTAGGGCGAGGATATGGAAAGGGTGTTTTACCTCAGGCTAAGGTCTTGTAAAAAACTTCATGTGAACACGACAGTGTATCTTGAAGTCTCGTAGAACGCTGGTAAATTCTTGACTAGTTGATCGTGTGTTGTTTTCTGAAGATTATTACGTATTTAAAATAGCAATTCTTATTTTCCGATTTCGTACAAGCATTCACAGAGATATTCGGACAAATATGCACGATCCCACTGAAGACATTTTGAATGAATTGTTTAATGAGTATTTGGTGTATAACCCCTCACCCACTCCAAATGCAACCCGTGGTACGTAGTAGCTATGTGGACTTAATTTGGCCACATACTTACGTATTGCGTGAAAATTTGTTATTTTCTCACGATTCTCCACGGCTGTCCAAAATGCAGTTTAATTTTCTTCGGGCTCACTACATAAGGGCAGAGACCCTTTGTTTCCCATTATGACCCACTCCTCGGCATGCCATGATTTTATTCCTTGTGTGACTTTTGGTACAGGCGTACTCATCTCTTATTTTAATTAATACAAAATTATAAATGAAGTGAATACATTTTCAACATTCTGGCAAACAACACTTACACATTATCATTTATGTGGCATTTGAAGTTACTACATCGATAAAAGGATTGTGACCAGTGTTTCAGATGAATGTGTCAGATCGATTTTCAGGTTCTGGCACCTACAGTACTACACGGTGTGACACAACTCAGATGACTAAAATCATTACGATTCTACGTATTAGGACTGTATGTACATTGCTCGGTTGACCTCTTCACTTGTAGGTAAGACTTTCATCCAGTGCTTAAGCTATTTCGTTTAAAACTTTGAGTAAGTAATCCCTACATTTTTACTGCGCTAGAAATCACACATATACTCACATTCTCCTCTTATGCGCCTCGCGTAGCTGACAGCAGGATTGTAGCGAAGAATGTTTGTCATCATTGGGTTCACAGGAATATTAGAAAAGTCAGTCTTCCTGGATGGAGTTCGAATCCAGGCGTTGACGTTGTCTAATCTTGGAGATATCTCTAGAACAGCTGTGATGGTGTTTGCGGGTGCAAATTCTTGCGTTGGATCTTCGATGTCGTCTGTGGCGTAGGGCCACATTGAATAACGTAGGTAGTCGTAGTACTGATTCACGACAGGACCGAAACTTTTGCTCTGAAGACAAGAAACTGGTTCAGGCATAATTCTTCGTACTTTACAAATTGTTTGTTAAGCTTCTGAGCTTTATTAAATCCTATAAATTGTAATAATGAATAGAAGTGGAAAATGTGTCAACCTATTTCAACACACCCTACAATCTTTTCCTTCTTCTAGTCTTGTTAGTTATTAATTATTTAATTTTTGAAGATGATTGTCTCTTTCATCAGGATGATGAAATCGTAAACCAATGGTGATATGGACGTTGCGGTAAATATATTTTCTTAAATTCGAAAAAGTTTATTTTATTTTTGTCTGATATCTGGCTGGACGTATTCGCTTGTGTTTTCTTTTGTAATTAACATTAGAATATACAAAATTTAGTACCTTCAGCATTACAGAACGAAAGTGGAAAAGTAATTTACTGCATAGCGTGCGTTTAAGCCTTGCTGTATTTTCGTCAGAGACAGTTAAAGAAGGCAATGAATAGCAGCTGAAGATAACAGGACTCGGTGCATGTCATACTAATTCGTGGTGCCAAAAGTGAAACTAGTTCAAGCGTGGCTATGTGATGTAGATCAATGATAGTCAACCTTTTCTTTTCGCGTACCCCCAGATATAATTTCTCTTCAACTCTGTACCCACAAAGTTGTTGGTGTATAATTCAAGTTATACATAGTATATAATCTACATCTAAAATAAATTAAATAAAATAAATTACTGATTATTTATCATAAAATAGTATATATTTTTTTAAATTTCACGTACCCCCTAAGATGTCTTCGCGTACCCCCGGGGGTACGCGTACCCCAGGTTGAATATCACTGATGTAGAGTACGATTACATTCCACCGTACTCATAAATACAATCGAGAACGGAAAATCCGATATTAATTAAATTTGACTGTGGAAAAGTAAACGAATAATTAGCTAACGGTTTTTAATTTTCATTAAGATCGGACAATTCCAACGGTCATGTTACATGAGAACGTAAAATAACCTACATTTTTACTCATTTCAGATGCTTAAATAAATTGTTCTCAGCTGAATTTCAGCTTACTTGACAAACACGAGAAATAATTTGCATGAATGGATTTTACTTAAATGTCAAAAGCATTCGCTTCGATATTAATAAAAATTGATAATTTTGATTAATGATGTCAAGCGTAGAGCAGCAGGGTGTTCTATTGTCCATCAAACATAACTATTTTGAAATATACGATATGATACTCCATCATCTTTGGTTACATGTTCCGTCACTTCTCATGCCATAATCAGAACTAGTCATGTAAAAACAAGGGTTTGCTGTTTTGCTGTCAATTCTTTCCACCACGATACCTCTATATATGTATAGGTAAAGCTAATTGTAGCAAAATCACTACTTTGCTAATACTAATATTAAATGTTAGTAACTGTTTTAAAGATGATAGTTTGCCCCTGAAGCTGTTCGTGGCCCTTCAATGCCTACCTCGTCGTTGTAGGTTACCGTCACATCGTATCTGTCCATGAACATCGCTTCCATTACTGCTTGCAAGCATCTAGGGTCGATATCAGTTTTTGGCCCCTCGTAATTGTCTATGCACTTGTCTGTGAGGTGCTCCTCCTCGAGAGATTCTGCTTTCATCGTGCTGTGCCCCATCACTGTCTGTGAAACAGTTTACAGCGTGAGATTTTAGGTTATCACAGCGCAAATCTGAAGATGATTGTCTTCTGCGATGTTGCGCCGTGTCTCTAGTACACGTTTTCCGACGTTTCAGAGGTACTTGCTTTTTTATAACGTCTGTAAACTCCCAGAATACACGGCGCAACACGCCATCCACTGTGAATAGCAAAGTTATAAAATCAAAACTGAATTTTTAAAAAAGAATATGGTGCATTACTTTTGGAGTTACCCTCGTATAAGTAGACGACAACATTCCTGATACTGCCTCCATATCGAGGGTGGATATTGTCCTTCCGACATATTTACACGTCCGTACGTCGTTATGACCCAGAAGACCAATATCAACACGTCCGGAATGTGTTGAATGTAATATTGATGGTAATATTTGTATGATTAAAAGTAACGCAATGGTTACATTTTCTCATGTCTATTTCGGTAATGCCCATCCAGGTTGGGCACCTCTTCGGGGAAGCTTTTGTCCACATGTAATACGAATACCTTGAGCGACAGTTGGCACTCTCTTCCGTCGTCGTTGTAAACCATGTCTGCGTGAATGGAGGCTGTGGTGTTGGATCGGATGATGTCTTTCAGGTTCATCACTGGGGTGGCTGATGCAATGAGGGTAGATGTGAAGCGAATCTGGAGCAGAGGGTGCATTAGGTCCGATAGGGGTACGAACAGCATCATTCTAGAACAGTGGTATTCAACCTTTCTTGTTCGCGTACCCCCAGATACAATTTCTCTTCCAACTTTGTACCCACAAAGTTTTTAAAATTTCACGTACCCCCTAAGATGTCTTCGCGTACCCCCGGGGGTAAGCGTACCGCAGGTTAAAAACCACTGTTCTAGAACATACTCCATTGAAACATTTTTAATTGAGATGTAAAAACTTTTTTACGTCTGAAGCTGAATTAGTGTCTATGCACTAGTGGAACGACCCGTTGCAAATAACGGGACACACAAATGTCAGTATTGGTCTCGTTTAAGTTACATATCAATGCACAGAAAGTCACCACCCCGTATTCGAGATAGAATGAGTGCAGCTCATAATGAAATCGTATTGTCCAGGATTTCATAATCTGCAGCCCATTTGCAATGTTCGTTATATTGCATTCCTATGCGAGATGTAAAAGTATTTACTGCTTAGCGTAATATTTACGTAATTTTAATTAAATAGTTTATGAAACAGACGAATCATTAAATTCCTTAAAGAAAATTTAGTGGTATGTGAACCTGTTTGAGTCACGATGTTATATGATCTGCGGTTGAAATTTACATTTCAAGATAAGTTTAAGAGTTACTAGGCAGATTTAAACCAAACAGACCAATGCGTTCAGATAAATTCTTGCGGGAAATCGTTTTTGAATGAGCTTACCTGCCGAGCTGCTTCTGTGAGAAAGAACCCAAAGCGATGAACTCCGCCATTGTATCCAGCGGCGTACGTCCAGAATGTTGTGAAGGTCTTGGACTCGGTGCCATTTACTCTCATGTTTATATCCACCACATAGGCATTGTCACCTGAAACATGGAGTTTAGCTTTTCTCTTATTATTTAGTGTTCTGTCTGACGACAGGTCCATATGAACAGGATCCTTCCATCCTTTTCTCGGACTGGGACCTGTTCATATACGTTCTTGGCAGATGATCCAGAAGTGGTTTGCCATTGCCTTCTTCTGTGTGTGAATGGAGTAATTGTTGGGATGCCACGGAGGAAAACTCCGTGTTGCCTAGACCACGGCCTTGCCCAACACAAGTTATAAATTCGGGCACCGCCGGGAATCGAACCCGAGACCCCAGGATTACAAGGCCAGCGTTCTAACCGCTAGACCACCGTGGCGGTAGGTTTTCTCTATTCCAAAGGAAATAATAAATGTACGTATACAGAAATTATGGACGTGCTACGTCTGTAGACTTCTTCACTGAAGCATTTGTTGGAATTAATTTTTAAGGAAACCTTTCACGAAACTTTTTTAGCGTTGATTTGGGCGTTATCGGAATAATGTTATTGCTAGTTTAAAGACTTCAACAAACGCTTAGAACTTAAAGTGCACAAACATTGTAGAAAAATAAGCTTTAATTACAGTTTAAATGACAACTAATTTATATGCTTAATAATAATAATAATTAGAAATATTGTAGTTGTAGTAATAGTAACAGTATTTGAGAAACTTGAAAAAAGTAAGATCTGTTAGTATTGTTTATTTTCTTTCTCAGACACAATAATTTGCGGATTTTTTCCCCGAAAGTTCCGTACATTGACTGTCGAGCAGGGTTAGATAGCCTGAGTTTGATTCTTTGCGTTTCGCCTGCCACTCGGGTCCATGCATTTTATGAATTAGAAATACCCAGAAGTGTTAAGACTTTGTTAGGACACCAGCTTCGGACCAAAAGCTCATTCATGCATTCAACCAAAGCGATTGGCTTCGTATTTTTAATCATACTTAATAATGTATTGTCCAATGCAAATTATATCCTTGATTTATGGCCGTGGGTAAAGCGGTAACTGACTATTTATGTGGATCTAGCGTTGAAATTTCGTGGATATTCACCCCCTTTCCGCCCACACGTAATCATGTTGTGGTCTTTAAGAACAGGGACTTTGCATACCAAATAACGAAAACATTAAAAGTCCCAATACATGTTTGCCAATGGAACCAGATATTTTTAACAATCTTAATATGTGTATATTAAATCTTGTCCGTCTAATCACAATAAATTCTTATTAAATATTAAAATATTACAATAATTAACATTTTAAATATTTAAAATGTTAATTATTGTAATATTTTAATATTTAATAAGAATTTATTGTGATTAGACGGACAAGATTTAATATATACTTATTATATCACAATATGACGCAACTTTACCATCTTATGAATCTTAATATGTTTTGCAGTTTGCACTTACTGTGAATTTCATCTATCGTTTGCGCAAGTAAGTATCTGAAAGGATTTCCTTTCACTTGCGTGGAGAAAGGATTTATATACGAGGCGTTGAAAGAGTGATGACTGTGCTCCATGCCATTCATGTCAGTGATTCTGGTATGTGAAGTGTTTTTGTCTGCAGGTATTTGCGCTGTGTTTGCTTCGGTTTCCGCTTTGAAATTTGAAGTTGCATCGGTTGTCGCCGTGTCATAGAAGGCAATCGTCTCGATGTTGTCAGTTGTCGCGTTGTTTTGACTGAAAGTCGGTGTGCTATCTTCGAACGAGAATGAGCGTTCTGTTGTTGTGACCTGGTCCAGCGAGGTTGTTGCACTCGACACATTCTGCTGCCCCAAGAACTCTGTATCGGACTCATTCGGGGCGGTGTTGACCTGCTCCTCAGCAGGCACGAAGTTCTCGTAGCCAGGCATTTTCCCTGAAACAGTTAGAACTCCCGAAATCACAAAAGGGTTAACAGTTAACCCTCTAAACCCAGTTGCAACTAAGTGTCACTTGCTTTACTAATTCGGACGTCTGCTTTTTTTAACATTGTATTTATGTATATATTAAATCTTGTCCGTCTAATCACAATAAATTCTTATTAAATATTAAAATATTACAATAATTAACATTTTAAATATTTAAAATGTTAATTATTGTAATATTTTAATATTTAATAAGAATTTATTGTGATTAGACGGACAAGATTTAATATATACTTATTATATCACAATATGACGCAACTTTACCATCTTATTGTATTTATGGTTTCCGTATGATTGTTAGAAATAAACAGGGACTATTCGTCTAAACATCATGAATCATCTAAGTTTTGTAATGGAGAATTTGTATTTTAGGATAATAACTGAGTTATTAAATATTATTTAGATGAGTTTTGGCTTTAAAGCCTTAACTAACCCCATAGTGCAGGTTTTCCCTTGGAAAAGTTTATAGTCACTTAACCGTTCAAGTAATTTCGTGCTGAAATATAAGAATTGAAATTCGAAAAGTATCACAAGTGGCTAACGTTTCGTTGTCTATGCTGGAATTTGTTTTAAAACATTTTAATTCCAATGCATACTGTTATTAGCTTTCGTAATGACATTTTGATGAAGTTGTAAATTGTACTTACTCAAACCGAGATCAAAATTTATTGAATTCAGACCGTCGAGTTCAACTGAAATTGAGCTGGCTTCAAGCGAAGGCCACATCATCAAATGTCCTTGGATGTTAATTCCATTCTTGAGCCACGCAAGAGGCGAAACATTTGGTCCTTCTGTCGTGTAGTTAATGTTTATATTTGGTATCACTGACCTCAATTTCTGAAACACAACCATTACATATTCACCTTCTCGTCGTTCACGTAAGCCTGAAAAACCATTGATTCT